GTAAAAGAAAAGATTCTTTCATTGTTTTACAAACCCTCCCCCAGGTCCCCTCCACCATGCAGCCCTCGCTCTAGTCTCCTGTGATGACAGAAATATCTCCTGGGTATTCTTATTTTCCGTCTGAATGTTAGAATGAATTTACAGGTGTTTAAATAATAGTTTATTATAAATAGTTTTTTGCAGTTTTACCTGGTTCAAGCTAACCTTCCTGAGAGTGAACCTCCTTGCAGTGCTGGCTTCCTTACCCAGGATTATGGCATGCTTTCCACATCTTCAGGCCTTCTAGAATATACCATAGTAACTCACAGGAAATTTCTTCATGGAAATACTGGATGTGCCTTAAGTTTATTGCTAGGTGTCTTGGGACCCCCAGGGAGCAGGCTGTGCCCATCTGTGAGCCTCCTAAATGCGGCTCCCTACCAGCCTCCGGTCGTGACCCACCCGTCTCGAGGCCTCACCCCCAGCCATCCCCTCTTCTCCTGACCCTTGTCCTCTCAGACACCATCCGCAAGATGAAGAACGACTTCCGGAAGATGGAGGACGAGATGGACCGGCTCGCCAACAACATGGCCGTGATCACGGACTTCAGCGCGCGCATCAGCGCCACGCTGCAGGACCGCCACGAGCGCATCACCAAGCTGGCAGGTGGGCCCCGCCCCGTGCCCCGGCCCCACCTGCCGGCCACCTGCTGAGCCCCGGGGCTCACTGCCACCCGCACCCCTAGGTGTCCACGCGCTGCTGCGGAAGCTGCAGTTCCTCTTCGAGCTGCCGTCGCGCCTCACCAAGTGCGTGGAGCTGGGGGCCTACGGGCAGGCGGTGCGCTACCAGGGCCGCGCGCGGGCGGTGCTGCAGCAGTACCAGCACCTGCCCTCGTTCCGTGCCATCCAGGACGACTGCCAGGTCATCACCGCTCGCCTGGCCCAGCAGCTCCGCCAGCGCTTCAGGTAGGCGCGTCCGCGGCTCCCCCGCGATGCCAGGCTCTCCTGCACAGGCCTGCCCTTCGGGAGATTGCCCCGTGCACACGTTTTGCCCCCATCGTCTTCTGCCCAGGCCCCTGCCCCTCACTGCTGTCTCTGGCGCAGGGAGGGCGGCTCGGGCGCCCCGGAGCAGGCGGAGTGCGTGGAGCTGCTGCTGGCGCTGGGCGAGCCGGCGGAGGAGCTGTGCGAGGAGTTCCTGACACACGCCCGCGGGCGGCTGGAGGCCGAGCTGCGCGCCCTGGAGGCCGAGCTGGGGCCCTCCCCGCCCGCGCCGGACATCCTGGAATTCACCGACCGCGGGGGCAGCGGCTTTGTGGGCGGCCTCTGCCAGGTGGCGGCCGCCTACCAGGAGCTGTTTGCAGCCCAGGGCCCGGCGGGGGCCGAGAAGCTGGCAGCCTTTGCCCGCGAGCTGGGGGGCCGCTACTTTGCGCTGGTGGAGCGGCGGCTGGCGCAGGAGCAGGGGGGTAGTGACAACTCATTGCTGGTGCGGGCGCTGGACCGCTTCCACCGGCGACTGCGGGCACCCGGGCCCCTGCTGGCCGCTGCAGGGCTTGCGGAGTCAGCCACAGAGATCGTGGAGCGGGTGGCCCGCGAGCGCCTGGGCCACCACCTGCAGGGCCTACGGGCCGCCTTCCTGGGCAGTCTGACCGATGTGCGCCAGGTGCTGGCGGCGCCGCGCCTGGCAGGGAAGGAGGGCCCAGGCCTGGCCGAGTTGCTGGCCAACGTGGCCAGCTCCATCTTAAGCCACATCAAGGCCTCACTTGCCGCTGTGCATCTTTTCACCGCCAAGGAGGTGTCCTTCTCCAACAAGCCCTACTTCCGGGTATGGCCTGCTTCTGGGCACTCATGCAACCTGCAGGTGGCCCTCAGCAGCCCATAGATTGGGGGTGGCGTGGATCAGACGGCACAGAGACCCATTCCGTGCCGCAGGCTCCCCGGGAGTATCCGAGAGCAAGGCTGGCAGGGGTAAATGTGGCAGGGCCGAGAACAGGAAGGAGACAGGCTGCTTCTGCCAGCTCTGCCCTCCAATCCTGTCTCCAGTCTCAGGGTGTACCCGCTTGTATTGAGGGGCCAGGTCACTTATGTCCCAGCAGAGGGTCACCAGCAGCACCTTCCTAGGTGGGATCTGCTGAGTATCGACTTCTCCTCACAGGGTGAGTTCTGCAGCCAGGGTGTCAGGGAGGGCCTCATAGTCGGCTTCATCCGCTCCATGTGCCAGACGGCTCAGAGCTTCTGTGACAGCCCCGGAGACAAGGGGAGCGCCACACCGCCGGCACTGCTCTTGCTGCTGTCCCGCCTCTGCCTGGACTATGAGACGGCCACTATCTCCTACATCCTCACCCTCACCGATGAACAGTTTCTGGTGCAGGTACTGCCAGCTCCAAGACCCCCAACTCCTGGAAGTCGAGGTGGTGATCCCTTAGGACCAGACCGTCAGCTGGCCTGTGCCAGCAGCAACCTCCTCATTGCCCAGTGTGGCCCCCACTGCCCTGTCCCATCTTCCCACTGTCTCTACTTCCCTGGCTCAGGACCAGTCTCCCGTGACGCCTGTAAGTGTGCTGTGTGCTGAGGCCAGGGAGACGGCACGGCGGCTGCTGACCCACTACGTGAAGGTGCAGGGCCTGGTCATCTCTCAGATGCTGCGCAAGAGCGTGGAGACGCGGGACTGGCTCAGCACCCTGGAGCCGAGGAACGTGCGGGCCGTCATGAAGCGGGTGGTGGAGGACACAACGGCCATTGACGTGCAGGTGCTGCCTGGGTGACCTCCGGGAAAGCCTGACAACAGCTGGGAGTGTAAGGACACTCAGACAATGGGCAGGGCCGTGCACCTGAGCCTCATGCCTCCCGTCCTGGGTTAAGGCATTGCCCCAGTTTCACCTGGCCAAGTTGAGACCAAGAGTCACCCAGAAACTGGCTGGGGCTGCATTTGGTTTGGTCCCCTCTTGTCCCACCAGCTTCTGTAGTGACAGAGCCCTTGGCCCAGCAGTGATGAGCCAGTGGTTCTTGTAACAAATAGCTGGTTTAGAGCCTGCTTCTCAACCCCTCTGTGCCCCGGCATCCCTGCAGTGCCCCCCTTTCACCACCAGGTGGGGTTCCTGTACGAGGAGGGTGTGCGAAAGGCCCAGAGCAGCGACTCCAGCAAGAGGACTTTCTCTGTCTACAGCAGCTCTCGGCAGCAGGGTCGCTATGCCCCCAGCTACACCCCCAGGTCAGACCATGTGGTCCAGGTGCTCAGGGGGGAGTGGGCGGGTCGCTATGCCTCCAGCTACACCCCCAGGTCAGACCATATGGTCCAGGTGCCCGGGGGGGGGGGGTATGGACTGGGGTGTACAGGCAGGCTCTGACGCCTGTGTCCCTTTGCATGTCCCTTTGCAGTGCCCCGATGGACACCAACCTCTTGAGTAACATCCAGAAGCTGTTCTCCGAGCGCATTGATGTGTTCAGCCCAGTGGAGTTTAACAAGGTCCAAGATCCCAGTGACCTTCCTTCCCTGGGGTGCTGGGGAAGGGTAGCTAGGAAAACTCTCAGCGTCAAGCCGCTTGGATGGGACGCTGCCCCCCAGCCCCTGTTTCTGAACTTCCTTAGACCTGTATGTGGTGTCTGAGAGCAGATAGTGGTCTAGAAACATACCCTTGACCCCCTCAACATCTACGGCCCCTTCCACTGTGCTTTTGCTCCCAGCCTGGCTGGGTTGCTGGCCTCATATCAGTCAGGAGCCATTTGGCTAAGGAGTCCGCTGCTGATCGGAAGGTTGGTGGTTTGAACTCGCCAGCTGCTCCACAGGAGACAGACGTGGCAGTCAGCGCCCATAGATGGAGCCTTGGGAAGCCTGCGGTTCTGCGTTTGCAGGGCGCTACAGAATCAACTTGGCCGCCGTGAGGGGTACCCTCCCCAGGGATTCCGAGTCACACTGAGGTCTCCTACGCTGCACCCTACGCCACACTCAGACCTGGCGCTCCTCTCACCCAGTCCCTTAGCTGTGCTGGCCCCTATGGGCTTGACCATGAGATGAGGACCTACCACCCCAATCCCCCTCCTGCCCTCTTTCATCTTCCCAGTGTCTTCCCGGAATGTGGCTGCCCGTCTCAGGATCCTTTGTCATCACCTGTAGTCCTGAGTCACGTGCCTGTACCCCCCACTACCCCTGCAGGTGTCGGTGTTGACCGGTATCATCAAGATCAGCCTGAAGACACTGCTGGAGTGCGTGCGCCTGCGCACCTTTGGGCGCTTCGGGCTGCAGCAGGTGCAGGTGGACTGCCATTTCCTGCAGCTCTACCTGTGGCGCTTTGTGGCTGACGAGGAACTTGTGCACCTGCTGCTGGACGAAGTGGTGGCCTCGGCTGCCCTGCGCTGCCCAGACCCGGTGCCCATGGAGCCCAGCGTGGTGGAAGTGATCTGCGAGCGCGGCTAGGCGTCCTGGACCCAACCGTCCCGTCGCAGCCTTGCTGCCCTCCCGGGGACACCCACACACACCCACACCTCCCCTCTAATAAAGATGCGTGACTTCTGCAGGCTCAGGTTGTCTGTCTGCCGAGGGCGGGGTTTTGAGGCTTTGTCTCCTACGTCAGGCACGCCCCCGAGGCCGATTGGCTGGCCGGCTGGGCCCATCATGGGCCGTGGGCGGGTCGGTTTAAAGGCATCCAGCGAATGTGTCCAGGCTGGGCCTGGACAGGTGCAGGCGCAGCGGACCCGCTCTCCCCAGGGTTGGGCTCGGCATCCCTGACTGGCCTTTGGGAGCCCTCCAGGCAGAGCAGAGACCATGGCCCCTCAGGGCCCCCGAGACCCACTGGAATTCGGGGGGCCTATGGGTAATGAGGCAGAAGAGGGGGCTGATGGGGAGGTCCTGGGGGAAGAGATCAGCGAGAGGTCCAAGTAGGGGTGGGAAGACTGGGAGGAGGGCTTGGGGTGTGCGAGAGTAGGAGCCTGGTGAGGGAGAGGTGAGAGCTGAGACTGCATCGTGGGGTGGCTAGGGGGAGAGTGGGATTGGAGGAGGGGCTATAGGGGCCATGATGGAGCCAGGGGTCCTTGGGGAAGACAGAATCTGGAAGTGGAGGGTTCCAGGGTGGGTTGAGGGGAGCAGAAGCCCACTCCCCAGGGGTCAGTTCTCGTCTTTGTCTCTGCTCCAGGAGCTGCATCGCTGATGGCGCTGCTCCCCGCCACAATGCTACACCTGCTCCTGGTGGCCCGCTCGGGGCCCGCGCGCCTCCTGGGCCCGCCCCCCTACCTGCCGGGGCTCGGGGAGCTGTGGAGCCCAGGGGCGCTGTTGCTGTGGCTCACCTGGCTCGGCCTGCAGGCGGCACTCTACCTGCTGCCCGCACGCAAGGTGTGTGCTCTGCTGGTGGACGCGTCAGGCCGGGAGGGGCGCTCAGCTAGAAGACACCCCAACTTATCAGAGGTCCTTTGTGCCTGCAGGTGGTTGAGGGCCAGGAATTGAAGGACAAGAGTCGCCTGCAATACCCCATTAATGGTGCCTGGAGCATGAGCCCTTGTGGGTGGGAAGGGGAGGCCCCATGTATAGAAGGGGGTCCCCAGAAACAAGCGCCCACCCCCACCAATAGGCTCACTGCCCCTTTCCACACCAGGTTTCTCTCCCCACCCCCACCCCCCCATCCCCTGCTCCTCCAAGCCAGAGCAGACCCGGTGCTCTCCAAAGGGCCTGGGGTGCGGTCCGTGTGTTTGGGGAGTTAGATGTGCAGACCTAGGGTTCACTGTGTGTTCTCTCAGGCTTTCAGGCTCTGGTGCTGACAGCCCTGTTGGTGGGACTGGGGTTATTAGCCGGGCTGCCCCTGGGGGCGCTTTCAGACATGCTTCTGCCTTTCGCCTTTGCGTCCACCCTCACCACCTTCATCTTCAGCCTCCTCCTCTTCCTGAAGGCCCAGGTAGCTCCTGCCTCAGCACTGGCCCCTGGCGGCAACTCAGGTGAGCAGGGTTCTGGTGGGGGGAGAATGGAAGCTGATGGAGTATCTGTCTGCATCCTGACCCTCTGTTATTCTCCAGGAAATCTCATTTACGACTTTTTCCTGGGAAGAGAGCTCAACCCTCGCATCTCTTCCTTGGACTTCAAATATTTCTGTGAACTGCGGCCAGGCCTCATGGGCTGGGTATGCTGGGGCTTGGCTGGGTGACAAGGACCAGGGCATGAGGGCAGTGCTTTGGCAAGTTAAGGTCAAAACTGTGCTGACATTAAGCATTCATTCATTCCACAAATATTTGTTGAGTCCTCCATTTGCCCTAAGCATACTCTGGGACCTGGGAGACAAGAGGGAAAAAGGGTACAGAGCCTATGGTCTAATAGGAAAGACAGAAAACAAAGAAGGTATATATAGCATGCCAGGACGTGATAAAGTGGTAGAGCTGAGGCCATGTCCAGAGTAGAAGGGAGTGTCACGTGCTGCTGGTGGGCAGGACAGTGTAGACAGCTCACTACCCATCCTGAGGCCTTGACAACATTCCAAATGCCTTCTCTGATTACTGTCACCCAGACTGCATTTTGGCCAAGATTTTCTTTCCAAAGCCCTCTCGGCCAAGGTCTTTTATATCACTCTGGCAATGACATCATCTGGAGGCGGGAGGACTCGGGCGCCCACTTGGCCTAAGAGTGTAAGGATGAGAAGTAACTCAACCACCAAGTCCAAAATCTGAGCTGCTGAAAGGTGTGTGGCTCCCAGGGTTGTCTCTTTGGCGCTTCCTACACACACCATCCAGTCCTGAGACATCCCCGTTCTCCATAGGGGACACATGCTCTGAAAAGGGTCAACAACCTGCTGCAGTGATGAAGCTGTTAGACAAAACCAGATCTGTCCTGATTTTGGAGCCCCAGAGTCTAAATGGGCTGGGAACACCAGGAGAGGCAGCCACAGTAGGCTGTGTCCCAGGTAGAGCCGGAAGTCAGTGAAGGGTGCAGAGTGACAGCTGAGAAGGGGTGTGCCTGGACACTGCTGTGTGAGTGGAGTAGACTGTCCTGTTTCCTCTACCCACCCAGGTCCTGATCAACCTGGCTATGCTGGTGCAGGAGGCAGAGCTTCGGGGTAGCCCCTCGCTGGCCATGTGGTTGGTCAATGGCTTCCAGCTGCTCTATGTGGGTGATGCCCTGTGGCATGAGGTGAGGCTGGGCCTGGACAGGAGGCCGGGGTGTGAAGACCTTTGTGGAGAATAAGCTGATGGATGTGGGTTGTCCCTGCAGGAGGCCATCCTGACCACCATGGACATCACACACGATGGCTTCGGCTTCATGCTGGTCTTTGGGGACTTAGCCTGGGTACCCTTCACCTACAGCCTGCAGGCCCAATTCTTGTTGCACCACCCACAGCCTCTGGGGCTGCCCATGGCCTCTACCATCTGCCTCATCAATGGTCAGTCAGGAAGGGGAGGAACGGCAGGCTGGACCCATCACTCCCTCACCCTTTAGTCTAAGGAGGCATTAAGCTTCAAGTGCTTCCCTGCCGTCAGAGGCTTGATCAGATGTAAGCCAGGAACCTCACCACTTCCCACTCCTTCCCCCCAGCTGTTGGCTACTACATCTTCCGAGGGGCCAACTCCCAGAAAAACACCTTCCGGAAGAATCCTTCTGATCCTAGAGTTGCCGGTGAGCTGGGTCTCCCAAGATGCTGTGGGTGAGGCAGGGCATTGTCTTCCTGGGGTTACCTACCACTCCCCATCTCTCCTTAGGCCTCGAGACCATCCCTACAGCCACTGGCCGGCAGCTGCTGGTGTCTGGGTGGTGGGGAATGGTGCGTCACCCCAACTACCTAGGAGATCTCATCATGGCTCTCGCGTGGTCCCTGCCTTGTGGTGAGCAGGCTGGGTGGACACAGGGGCAGCGGGAGAGGCTCAGCGGGACCACATGCAGGTTTGGCATGGGGAATGGGTAGGCACCCCATGACAGCAGTCAGGGAGTTGGGGAAGAACCCAGCATATGGCTGGGATGGAGCCTGGCTGCAGCCCTTGAACAAGCGTCTGCCTCGGCTAGTGTCTTGATGGAAGCCTTGTGAACTAGAGGGACACTGGTGGTCACAGCCACTGCTCTCCCCCCCACCTCAGGGACCGCTCACCTGCTGCCCTACTTCTACCTCCTGTACTTCACCTCGCTGCTGGTGCACCGGGAGGCCCGCGATGAGCGGCTGTGCCGCCAGAAGTATGGCCTGGCCTGGCAGGAGTACTGCCGGCGCGTGCCCTATCGGATCGTGCCCTACATCTACTGAGGCGCTGCACCCACTCATCCAGCAGCAGGGGCCTGAAAAACATCTGGACTCAAAGACTTGCACCCTGCCCACCTCGCGTGCCACCTGGGGCCAGAGGTGCAGATGACCAGCCTCGGAGAGGTGGGGATTTGGAGCAGGACAAAACGCAGCCAGTGTCCTCAGGCCCCAACGCAGGGCTGCTCTTCGTCTTTGGATAAACGCCTGGAACCCTTGGCGTTGCTTCTCTTTGGAGTTGGGGTGTTTAAAGCGGCCGGCTTACACCTGATGGAAAAGCCGACGCAGTTTGGGGGCCCATGAGTCTGCAGCTAGTGGGGCGACAGGCAGAGTCACAGCTTTATTAAAGACAAAGGCACCCCTGTCCTGTTCAGCCAGGGAGCTCCTCAATGACAGTCCTGCGGGCAGGGGGCAGCGGGCCTCCCCAGAGGCGCTCCATCTCCCCGGCGAGGGTCGCCATCTCCTCGGCCGCCACGGCCTGCGCTCGGTGGGCCCGCGCGCAGTCTAGGGCCAGGGGGGCCAGGGTCACCTCGTTTTCGTTGGTCCAGGCCAGCAGGAACTGGCACTTCTTCCGAGCACGGTAGAGGCGGCCTCGCTCCTCCGCTGCCCGGGCCCGTTTCCGAGCTCGACCCAGGAGCTGCGCCAGGTGCCCCAGCGCCGCCAGCGTGTGGCCCTTCGGGTCCGCGGGCCCCTCGCCCAAGAGAATGCGGGCGGCCTCGCGCATGGCGCCGCGCGTGCCCAGGGGCCCCGGCGGGTGCGCGCCCGCCTCCAGCACGTGGACGGCGGCCTGCAGGGCCTCCTCGGCCGAGGCGAAGACCTGCTGGGCACCCAGGGCCCCGGAGACGCCGAGCAGCGTGTCGCAGAAGTCCAAGAGCAGCGCCGGGTCCCCGCCGTGGTACAGCGCCAGGGTGTGCGCGTAGGCGAACAGCACGTTGGGCAGCTGGAAGCGCACGAGAGGCGAGGCGGGGCCGCGGCCCAGGCTGGCCAGCGTGGGGATGCGGGTGGGCACCGCGGGCGCGCGCGCCGTCGGGGCGTCTCCGGGAGGCGGCTCTGCGCCCTCGGGCTCCGCGGCGTCACCACCTACCGGCGCCTCCAGTTCTTCCAGCAGCCGCGGCTCGGACCGGCGGGCCCACCACCACGGCTGCCACGGCGGCAGCAAGCGCCCGGCCTCGCCGCGGCTCAGCAGCCGCTCGAAGGCCGCCTTCTCCGCCGGGGTCAGCCGCTCCCAGAGCCCCGCGAGGCCGCCGGGCGCAGGTCCCGGGCTGAGGCCTGCGTCCTCGGGCTCATCTTCAGTCTCGCGTTGCTGCCGAAGCCGGCGCAGGGCGCTCGCCAGGCGGCTGGGGGAGGCAGTGCGGCCGCGGAGCTCGCCCAGCACTTGGTCGCGGTAGAAGTCTTCGGCGCAGGCGCCGTGCGCCCGGTAGCAGCGCAGCGAGCAGTAGGGCACATTGCAGCGCGGGCAGGTGTAGCGCGCCGGCTGGGCCTCCGCGGCCGGGCAGACGGCGCACGGCCCAGCCGGCTCCATGGCAACCTGTCTCCGCGACACCCACGAAGAACGCACACGCGCCGGAACTCAACAACTTCCGGCGCTTCTGCGGCTACTTCCGCTTCTTTAGGGAAGACAAGGAAGCGCTTCCGAAGAGCTCACGCGAGGACTTCGCGCAATTTCCACCGGGAGCCAAGCCCCACCCCTTGTTAAGTAGCTTTTGGGCAGGCGCAGAAACAGACTGCCATAGGAGCCTCGCCTTTTACGTCAGTTGAGCGCTGTGTAGGTGCCAGCGCGCCCCCTAGTGGTCACGCTGAAACGTAACGGCCGGGCCAAAAGTCCGCTGGTTCGAATCCTATACCTTTCTTTCCTCTTCTGAGATTTACAGCCTTGGAAAGTCTCTAGAGGGTTCAGACAGACTCCTAGGTTATGAGAGATCTTGTAAAGTTGTAAAGTGTTGTTGATGTGGCAGGAACCCAGACGTTGTTTCTAAGTTTAAGATGGTCGTAAAAGTTGCCTGTGTAAGGTACTTTAACCTGATTGCTCAGAGTTCCCAAAGATAAGGACAGTAGTGAAAGTTGCCTTTGTAAGGTTCTATAACCTGATCTCTCAGACATAGTATAGGAGTTTAAGACAATAGTAAAAATGGCTTATGTAAAGTCATGTAACCTGATTACTCAGACATAGTTTATTTTAGGCCAGTAATGAAAGTTCCCTTTGTAAGGGCCTTTAACTTGATCTTAGCTGTGACGCTCTTGTTCCAGAAGCTGAGGATGTGTGATAGTTACACTAACGGGGAAAACAGAAAATTCCTCGACAAAGCACCCTAAGCTAAGCCGCCTGCTGACTGACCACCTGCCTCGGATATGAAAACGCGGGTCATCTGTCCAGCTGGAAGAGACCTCATGGGAAAAAGAACCCTACCAGATCCCTTTTTTTGGATGTGCTCACCAAGTTGTGCCAAGAAATCTGGAGAACAACCACTTGGCCAACTGACTGGAAGAGATCTATATTTGTTCCCATTCCAAAGAAGGGTGA